ATCCTGACAAGGGCTAGCAATTAATAATTCATAACTTTATCGTACGTCTCAAAAGTAACTAATTTAAGGTTGACTAAGGTGAATTGCGCGTGGTGTTTATTAACACCAGTCCTTGTTCTTTCCGACGAAAAGCTTGTACTTTCAAACAGTGTGATAAAACTTCATCATCGACGATGAGTGTAAGAACGCAATTCAGCAAAAAATTTTCCCCTACCACTTGTACCTGTTTTCCGGTACTAATGACTTCTTAAAGTCGACGATTTCCTGTTACATAAATTTAATATTACAGAACAGCACACCGGAAATTGTTATGCATCATTTAAAACAAAAGATGTCTTTTATTGATGCAACAGAAAATAATAAATTATAAAATAACATTAGCAAATAAAAGAAATGCGGAAAAGTCCAAGTTGTTGCCCAACATTTCCACATTAAATTTATATCGTTTTCCTGTTTGCTACAAGTGCTACGAATAAAATAAAAGTTTGCAAGAAGAACATAAAAATACAAAAAAAAAAAAAAATAAATAAATAAAAGGAAAAGTATAAAAATAGAGAGAAATTCATTTAAACTGCGTAACCTTTGTTCGCACGAAACGAGAAAAAGGACTATAGTAGGCGACGAAGCAGCGTTGAATACCCTATTTCAGAGATTATATTATATGAAGCAAACTGACTGCAAGCACCAGCATATTATTGCATATCTATGATTATGTTATAATGATAAGGAAAACGATATGATAAATATCGAAGGCTCCTGAAATGAAAGATCTTTCCATAGATTCCCAAGGGCACTCTATTTAGCTATTCGTTAGAATAAAATTTATTATAACCAAAATAGGAAAATAAAATTTAATATCTACGTAAAATAATAACATAGACATTTGTTGGTCTTCTTCCTCCAAATATTGTTTCTATGTCTTCAATAATTTTTTTTTTTTTGTTCGTCGCACTTTCTTAAACGACACACAGGCCTTTTTCTTCCTGTCATTACGATCTCTTTTACCCGTAAAACAAAAACGTGCCACCATTCAAACTTTCTATGCAGAGTTGCTCTTTAGAGATCAATTGAAGCAATTGTCGAATATATAATTGTTTCGAAACTTTTCGAACTAACTAATCAACTAAGCATTTAACCCTATCCCGTCCTGGCCCCTTGTGCGAATTAAACTTAGTATCGCTCATCATTTTCAATACTCTGACGAAGACTTCCTCCTCATTTGCAGATTCGTCATCTCAATATGTATTTAAGGAAGGCAAAGAACTAGGAGTTTTTTCGGCCCGTACTACAAATCTTATCTGGCAGTAAATCTTTCATTTCACTCACCATTTCTTTTTTAATTTCACAAAAAATGTTTCATTATTTAAAAAGACGGAACCTTGTTTATTTCATGTTTACTTATTTTTAATTAAAATAAACCATATTTTTTGCGAAAGTGAAGCCAAGTCAGCTAATTCTATATCAATTCTGCATCGTTTCTACAAAGAGAATGCGGCGAAAACTATTTATGCAGCGACATACCGCAGAAATCACAAATATAAGTACGGTAGCTCACTAAAGTCAAATTTACTTTTAGATTCATTAGCTACAATTCTAATAATGTTTCGATTTTCATGCTCTGTAAGGTAGTTCGTTGCTCTGATCGATGCTTATTTTCTGTGGTATTTTTGTTATTGTACTTTTTTATAATAACATGGATAGTAGTATGAATAATACCAATACTATTCCTTAGTGCGATTTCTCCTCACTTCTTAACTTTATAATCACATTTCTAACCTTTTGAGTTTTTGTATAATTTCTGAAATTTTAGGGAAAAGAAATAAAAAAATTCACTTTAATTGATAAATTATTGTTTAAATGTACGGCAATATGTACATGCTTTGAATGAAAGGGAATTAAAACGGGAATTCGATTGATTGAAAGGTTGAAGAGCTTCTAAATTGGGAGCATCTTTTTCGACATTAGATCTGACCAATTAATATATTTTTGCACGACTTATTTATGTGGTATATCATACTATTATTACATTATTTTCATAAACATAAGTGCAAGTATGAGAGACACTACACTGTTTGCAAAATCCATCGCAAACACGACAGGAACAACAGATGCTCTTGTGTGGTCAAAAAGCGAACTATTTGCTTATGTCCATTATAGCAGGTTGAAAAGTTTTTCGGAAGTAGATAAAAATAAAATTGCGTGTTTGTAGCAAAACAACTTCCTGCTGGTCTAGTCCATGCTAGCTGTAACAGTTGCAATTGAAAAACATTATACGTTAACGTTTGGTGAGATTGGTTTTTTTAAGGGCTTTTTGTTACAATTTCTTCTTTTTTTTTAGAGAACTCATCCATTTAATTAATAATTTTATTGCATATCAAAATCCTAAGCAGTAGTTTCGAGTGTTAAATACTTCTGTAAGTTGAGAAAAATTTAATATACCTTTGATCTTTTAAATTCATTTCGAGATTTTAAGCAAACATATAAAAAAATCCTAACCACAGTTAAAAATAGTGAGTTCATTAAATAAAACTAAAAAATTCTGTCTTTAAATAAAATCATCAATCAACTTTTTGCGTTCAAAACATTTACGTTTCTTTAAGGTCAATTTCAACAAGGCTGCATGTAGAGAGTACGCAAAAATTATTCTTGCGGCTATGTGGCTGCAACAAGCTTGTTAGATTTTAAGAATTCTCTTCATGCGTTTTTTAAGGCCCACAAGCAATCCAATGTTCTTTGGGTACTTTTAGTAGGTTGAACGATTTCTCCACAAAGCAGTGGGTATCAAAGGTTCAATCAAAGAGCGTAGAAAATCTTTAATTCGTCCACAGAGAACATGTACATCATTGTTGGCCAGGTAGGGTGTTCTTTTGTTTCTTGTAAAACGTTCTTTGAAGACCTTTACTTCAAGCTTTGTATCTCAGGTACACAATGAATAATTAAAGGTGGAATCATTGAAGACACTGACGCGTCATAATCAGCTGAATAGTCCATTGATATGAACACGTGGAATGCAAGAAATTGCTAGAGGTTCGTGGCTATCAATGAGCCAACGCACTGGACGGTCACGGAAACGAAAGCCGATCATGTTGAAATGTCTTCTTTTTCGACAACTAATGCATATCGCTGGCTTCACAAAAATTTATGAGCTCGTTTGGGAGTTTCAGCATTGCAAATTGTATTTATAGTTACAAAAATACTGAACAGCATTATGAACGGATGGTCTGTGCTTACGGCAACCACGTGAAGGACATGCTTCCAAGGAATCATCGTCTGATTATGGTATGAATAAATCGCGTTTACCCTCTGCTTTTTGCGTGCTCTGCTATCCATTTCCGACAAAAGACGCGCGCGAAACACTTGCTTCCAAATTGACGATCGATTGCAAAGCATTCAACTCACGTTGTAAGCTTTCAGCTTCTCGGAGACAGGCTCTGCGTCCTAAAATTCTTTTAAGACTTGCTTCTCTGCTGACCCCCCCGTAAGGATTTGTCAGACACCTTGCAAAGTATAAATATGTAGTCTTGAGCAGCATCAAATTCTGGATCGATTTAAGCGTGTTCGCCCGCCAGTCTGCGTAGTCTGTTGTAAACATTCTCCTGGCCGCAAAATTAAGCCATTGATTTCAAGTTCGACAGAAGCATTCAAAGTTCTTGCAGGTAAGTTGGTGTTAAAAACGGGCCAAATCGGTCGAGGAACACGCTTACAGTACCGTAGTACTTTTATTTGCTTTCAATCGGTATTTATAAGCGCAAAACTCTGATCGCAATTTCGTCATCCTATTCAATTCATTAATTTATTGTTTGGTTGGTAGCGGAGGAGCTAAGCAGTAACTTGTAAATCTAGCTTTTTAATAATTTTCTACCTTTTTCATGTACTTTTGATGTTTTCGTTATTTTTTTTTTTTTGGTTTGTGTAAACATATGTCTATTATCTAGACCTGTGTAGCAGTGGGATGATTAAAATTTAAAAATTTAGTCTTAAAAATGTTTGGTCAGATTGAACTGTTGATTTTTTTCTTTGAATTTTTGATTCATTGAGTATTTCAGGTCTAACAGGTTTTTTCCCTTGGTTTACATGCTGAAATTGATTAAACGACGACAACATAAAAACTGACGTTTCTTTTCAATAAATTTCATGATTTTATTGTGTTCTTGTCTTTGATTATTAAGAATTAGAATGAAAATAAAGATTAGTGAAAAAAGTGCTGCCAAACCCTTTCTTTGTAACGAATAATATTTCGTTCGCGAAAGGCAAATAATTTAATAATAAAAAAAGCTTAAGGTGTGCAAATGAGTTGAGGTTCTAAGGGCTGCAATAAACAATAATATCTTTACATTACATTTTACATTACATTTTATAAACAATAGAAAAAGTATTTGTAAAGGTAGCTAAGAGAAATATTGTGAGTGAATTTTACAACACTGTGTAGCAAAATCTGGAATGTAATCACGTATAAAGAATTTAGCTTTCGCTTCCGTATTTAGATGTGCGACAAAAACGGCTGGAAACAAAACTGAAAGTTAGCTTTCAGCTACGTGAAAACGACCCTGTTTATTTGACGAAGTATTGTATCACTACAGGGGAAAACTTTGTCAGTGTGTGCGAGACTAAGATAAAACTACAGATTTTCGATTATTCTGTAAGCAAATTCAGCACCAAACACAAAGTAGGCATTGCAGCTTATGCACGCAATTGATTTCATTGTTCTTGTTTATGTGTAGTTGAGCATACAGCTGGCATTTTAGCGTGGCGTAAAAATCACAAAAAAAAAATATTGGCACGATGCAAATGCGTTTTTTGTGTTTATTGATTTAGTTGTCTTACTATTGATTAGCGCACTTGTTTAACATATTCATTTTATGACTGATTTGATACAAGTGGTCAAAGGAACCGGAGCCTTCTTCAGTTATTTTACAAAATAAATTGCTGTCAGTTTGAAAAAAAAAAATATGTATATATATATATAGTAATATTTTTTTTGCAAACAAAGAGAAATATTAATGGCTAAAGAGGGCAAACATTTCAATCAGGGCGATTTTGTTTTCGCCAAAATGAAAGGCTATCCAGCTTGGCCAGCGCAGATTATAAATTACGAGAAAAAAAAATTCGTTGTATACTTTTACGGCACTGGTGAAATCGGATATATGAAACAGACAGATTTGTTTCAATATCTGCAATGTAAAGAGAAGTTTGTGACAGAAAAAAACTTGAAGCGTAAATCTTTTCTCGATGCAGTTAATCAAATAGAGGCCGCGTTACATGGAGAGGACATAGCACGTGAAGTCGTCCTTGGCGCTTTGAATGCTAACACCTTGAGTCACATTACAGCGGATACGCTTACAGCCAGTAGGGCCGGTAAAGACAAATCTGTCCAAACGCCATTTAATAGCTTTGCGGATGACGCTGCAAGCACAGAAGACATTTCAGCAGATGTACGCGAAACAACGACGATGGCAAAAGCACATCGCAAAGAAAATCAAGTTGTCATGAGTCCGCCATCATCATCACCATCAGTTGATCAACAATCATTTTTCGAACAGTCTTTTGAATCAGCGATTGAAGAAGAACTGGAAGAAGAAGATTATTTACTTCACGAATATAGATTAGTGCAGTTGACAAAAGATATAAAAGATTGCTTGGGCCTAAAACATGCTGATGTCGATCGCTGCTTGGAGATCCTTATAGAGTATAAAGAACTTTACTTGAATAAACTAATGCTGTTGCGTAATCCAGAATGTGTTAATACCATACGAGTTTTGCAAAAATATAGAGGTAATTTAAAGTCCTGGAATTTAACAGCTGAAGAAGAGGACACTTTCAAGGCTAAAGCTGAGATTATATGCAACGATTGCATATTGATTTATAACAATTTCAAAAGCATTTTCGAACCTAGATCTAATCCAATCTTTTGGCAGGAATTCTGTGAGCATGTTGAAGCGTATAATAAAACAATTAAATATGCGAATGGGGAAAACCATCATGACGGAAAAAGCTCATCATATTCTGTTTACGAAAAGCAAACAGATAGCGAGCTCGTTAAAGTTCTCGAATAATGATAATTATATAATTCTTAGAATTACTATAAATATGAATATTATTCTTGTTACTAATATTATCATTATATATTATTACGTATTATTCTTGCAAGTATTCACCCTAATGTACTGACTATGATGGCCGCCTGGTAAAACCTGCCTTTTTTTTTCTTAACTTAAGAAGGAAAAGAGCCATAACGGCCATCTCTGATTGGCCTTTTTTATGCAGCGAATTATCTGCCGTTCACTCGCTGATCATTGAAGAAGTACTTGCCATCTATTTTTCTGTAGTCTATTAAAATTTGCAGACAAGTAAAAGATTTTTTTTTTTTTTTAAGTAAATCTGTTTATTGTAATATTCGTCGTCTCTCGCCGAATTGCTGCAATCCCTAACATGATCGTGGCAACATTTTTATTAATTCAAAATAAAAGAAGAAGAAGATAATCTTAAATGTTTAATGGTCTCGGTTTCATTATATTTTATGAAAAACGGCTACCTATATAAATGATGACAGATGTGTCCGTCAATTGAGCTATATTTGAATTTTGCTATAATGACGATTGCTTCAGTTGTACAATTCTGTTGTTCCTGCCTGGCAAATATTGCGATTTGGCATTGCACTGACGTCAGAATACAATAGTCAGGTTCGATGCCTGGGCCGGGGTATTGTGTATGATCAATGGATAAATATTAATAGAGCATAGGCAGGGCGCTGGAACAATACCATAACATCTGGTAAAAGTCTGCAATAGTCTTAGATTTTTCATTTGACGCTAGCAAAGTTCGCTCGGCAAGTTTTAAGATAGATTTTTATTTACCCAATTAATGTATTATTATTATAAGTTGATTCGTATGCTAGTGATCTTTGTGAAGTGCGCGCAAGACTAGGATCAATAATCAATATACCAGGATCTTTTGAAGAAAACATCCATAATAGCCCAAGGTTTTTTTCGCGACTGTATGGCATAAATTGGAACAGATTAGAATAGATTGGAGTTAAGCGTAGAAAATAAACATTTGTTGTAACACATTACTGACATATGAACGTTTCACAACAATCCTTTGTTTTATTTGCCCTTTGAATAAGTAAATTGCCTAAAGACGTCTGTTCCAGAAATATTACGGCGAGGTGTGATAAGAAACGGCTGTTTTATGTATATGCGACAATTGGTAGCGAAAGGGTTAAGCTGCATCATTGACATATTTTTTTTTTTAATTAAGATTTTTTTGCTTCAACGCATAGAGTAAAAAATAAAATCTTATTCTTAACTTTTGTTAAGTTTTTGGTAATAATTAACAATCAAGCGACACCTATAATCGGATGTTCTACCAGTGTTGAGTATTTAATTCAGTTGTGGATTATTAACCTGATTCAAATATTTACACAGCTTCCTTTCTCCCTATCTCTCAGAGATGTGCGGACATCGAAGAGATGACTTGTGGTGTAAGGCACAGGATTTAGTGCAAGTAATATTTCGCTAAAGCCACTAACATGATGCTATTCCAAATATTCAAATATGTTGTGCTTAACATTGGCTTTGTTCCCCATACTTCATTTAGCATACTTTAGTAACATGTTAAGAATAGTAATTAACTTCTTTGAATGTCGTTCTGCTATTGGTAAACTCCAGCAACGAATTAGTTGCTAACCGCACGTATACTAAAATGTAAGTAGCTTCCATCTCATAGAAAAACGCCAAAGCCCGTGTTTTAGAGGGATTGAAGCGTATATAAATGGCCAAGGAAGCTTTCAAAACTTCTCAGCGCTGACACCTTTATATTGATCATTACGTTGATGTTACTTCATGTCATGTATGTATTGGTCAATCAGCCTGAAACACATTTGGTCTAGGAAATGTCGTTCATAATTAGCGTGAAAGCAAGAGAGATTGAAAATATTTGTTCTTTAAAAACTAAGTACGAATAAATCTCTTTTTACACGACAGATATGCTCTCAAAAAATTCAAGTGAAAAAAAGATGTCGGCGATATATGGAAAGATAGTAGATTGGTTTCAGACCTAAAAAAGCAACTAAAAAGTACAATAAAAAATAGTACAAAATTCTTATTAGAATGCACTTAAGAACTGGTTTCGTGCTTACACACATTTCAATTCATTAAATACATTATTATGAAAAATAAATCTTACTTTGAAATACCAAAGTAAATCGTGCAAACAACATAGTGCGTGTTACTGTAGTGTGACTGAACTCTGTCACAAACCAAAATTGTAAACAAAAAAATTATGATAAAATAAAAGCAGAAAAATGTAAAACAAACTTTAAAGCGCTTCAAATTGCATTTCTTAAATAATCTAATGATAAACAAAGGCAAAGAATGCAATTTGACGCTAAACGCCCCCATTCATAATTATGCTGACTACAGCATTAAATAGTTTTATTATTATTATTATTATTAGTATTATAAATTTTTAGCCAGGGAATAAATTTTAAGACTTAAGTCTTAAAGCACAAGAACACGTACCTAAGGCTTTCGGTTTTTATTAAAAACTCTAAATAAATTCATAAACTTAAGTAGAAATTAGTAAGCTAAAGAAGACATTATTCTTTATCACATAATCGAATACAGCTTTTCATTCGGTCCATGTTAGTTCGTGACGCTTCTAGTCGATGCATTTTAGCATAATTAGAAGCTGTAACATCTGGCGTTCTGAAGCCGAAGAGCTAGGTTGCACTTAGAATCGTTCTACATAAGTTTCTATAAGAGAAGGCAACGAATGCCTATCATAATCCTACTCAGCTCCCTCCACATCTTTGCATTACATTACTCTATGCATATTTCGGGGAATCCTTCTAATTATGCGCATATAATCGACACAATTTAACTGGAATATGAAAATCGTGTTAAAACAAGACAAATCGGGTAAAAAGAGAATCTCTTTCTTATTGACTTGGTCTTAAATCAAACTTCGTGTAAAAACAATACGTGTAAAAAGGTAATTTTTTCTTCTTGGCTAGTGTTAAATCATATTTCATATAAAAGCAATTCGTGTAAAAAGGAAACTTTTTTCTTCTTAACTGGTGTTAAATCAAATTTCGTGTAAAAAAAGAAACTTTTTCTTTTTGGCTAGTGTGAAATCAAATGTTTGTAAAAAACACCGTGTAAAAGGAGAAGCTAATCAAAATTGTTCAGAAAACCTTCATTCGGCATAAGATTACCATATACACGATCTATACACATGTATTGTACATACAATGCGCCTTGTGTATGTAAGTTCGGGTATGTAAGTTTCTTTTCAAGCGATTCTCATTGCGCTATACGGTACCTACCTAGGCAAGTTATAATTTATATTTGTCAGATGGATTCAACTATTAATTCAACTTGCGTGGAGTTTCCATTTCCCTTTCTGTGTAGTGTTGCTGTGTAGTATGCTGAAAATATTTTTATAATTCGATGCAGGTCTCCTTCTCTGTGGTCTACTACGAATTTAATGTGCTAATCGTACAACCTACTTCGTTCGTAAGTCCACCCTATGTCTCGGCTTTGATCTTTCTCCTAAGCCTATGCAATGCCATCTTGTACCCTACACCAATTAGGGTACATGGGTACATTTCGAAGTGGTTTTACTGCGCCGGTTTGTGCAGAGGTTTCAAATAAGCGTCGTCTGATTTAAGGATGCGTGAAGGAGGTGATGGAGGGGGGTTAAGATATGTTCATATCTGGTACACGTGGAGTAAATCTCCTCGATGGTTATGAGTGATGTTATCTTACTACGTCGTTGGGTTAAACCGACCCGGCAGATGGAAATATTCGAAGAAAAATTTACAAATTTCGATACTTTGTACTAAACACAATTTCGATGGGCATAAATAACTTCATTTAGTGAATGTGTTTGCTTAATAAATTCAATTTGAAAAGAAGAGTAATAGACGCTTAATGAATTAATGAATGATGGCAGGAATACCAATTATGGACAGTGGTCGAAGAGAACAATGCTGTGTTATTAAACGTGTTTACGTACCATTTTCATAACAACCACTCACTTACATTTTGCTATATATGTGAGTTGAGAACCTAACCATTCGAAATGAGTTGAAATGTAATGCTCTGTCTTATGATAAAAAAGCCATGAGATACATGCATAAAATTTACAAATGTAAGTCTACTTGTGCAAGCAAATAGGAAAAACGTTCCCAGGAAGAAAGATCAAACATATTTTGTGCTTCCATTTGGCAAACCTGAATACTTAAGTCAAATATAACTGACGAGTTATTCGAAATTGTGAAACACTGATCGGAGTTGACTAGACATTGTGGATACGTTTGCTTTTGCAAATATCTTAAAAGAAGGATATATTTATTCATTGTCGAGTGAAGTTAAAAAATCTAATAAATATCTCATCTGACAGGTATGTTTTCTGATTCTTGTTGATAGCCTTAGTCAAGTTATTCACTAGGTCTTAAATGTATATCTCTTTAATAATAAAATGCTTTGTCTATTGTGGCGGCCAAGATTTCAACTAATTCTCGAATTAATTTCATCTATGAAATGCAAGTAGTGTGTGTCGTAGTGTAAACTTTTGCGTATTGTTTCCGTATTTGATAGCGAAGCACAACAACTTTCAAATTCGATTAGAAGCATGTGCGGCGAGTCTGACACAGAATGCATATAATTTACGAGAATTTTATTTACTTTGTTATGTGTTGCAAATAGAAGGATAAATCTGGTACACTTCAATGATGAGTTTCGAAAAAGGCAATTTGGTCGAACTGCTTTACGCGGCAAGCATTCTTCTTCTTCATTCTTCTCAATCATTAATGCATTCAATTTTCGAACATTTCTTGCCAGCATACTACGTTCGTACAAATAACTCATATCCAGAACTACATTTGCAGCATTTACGAGTTCGCATTACTTCACTAGAAAATTTTCAAAAAAAAAAAAAAACGGCAAGGAGAAGGAACAGGAAGCCGAAAAAGCAAAAGAAAAATATTTCAATAATTTGTTCTGCGATTTAAGAACTTAATGTGATAAGTATCGAGATGCTATTGGAAAAA